GAAAGTTACCAAAATCAGAGATTTTGTAGGTGGCCTGGCTCGGTGGTCCAGGAGGAAAAGGATCAGGTTGGATGGGGCTCTGATGAACCAGGTCTAGTGGAAGATGGCCTTGCCCATGGCAGGGGGGTTGGAATGAGATGATCTTTGTGGTTCTTTCCAACACAAACCCCTCTATGATTCTGTGATTCTGTGATTCTATGAAAAGTGAGAAGCTTTTATCCCTGCCCTGCCCTAAATGTGGAGGCTGCAGTGGTGCAATATCCTATTAGTTGTTTGAATTCCAATGAATACAAAGTGCAAATGGTGGGTTTTCTAGAACTCCAACACCTTTCTGTTCATCTTTGGGGAAACATATTTATTCTCCCTCTGAAACAGGGCACATGGCTTTCTCCTCTGGTTCATGAACACCTACATTCCATCCTGATACTCTGTCCTTAGCAACAACCTTAACTTCCTCTCTTTCTGTTCCACAGTTTCCAAGGTCTTTTTTACTGGAGGTCTGAAGGACATTTGGGAAAGCTCTGTTGTTTGTGGAGGTTTGTGTGTCTGGTGGATCCTTCTGAAGCAAGCCTGAGGCAACAGTGCTCAGGGGCAACTGCCCATGGATGGAGATCACCCCCTTCTGACTGGACTGATACTGATGCTCCTCACTTTTCACTGCCTGAAATATCCCTCAAGAAATTCCCCAGTGTTCACCAAACCCTCTCATCACTCAGTGCCTGGGACAAGGCTTTTTCCCTGCTCATCCCACCCAATTCTGAGTTTCTCCTCACTTCTATCACTTACAAAGCCCATTTGACTCCTAACTGGGAGCAATTAAGCTCTGTCCAGGACGCAAAACAGCTCAGGGCAAAGTGGAGATCCCAGCCCAGCAAGAGTGTTCCTCCCCCAAATTTAGCTGCTGTTGCATGCATTTTCCCCATCACTGGGTCTCCCAGCACAGCAGGGCACAGAGAGGGAGGTCATTTGACTTTGGAATGGAATGGAATGGAATGGAATGGAATGGAATGGAATGGAATGGAATGGAATGGAATGGAATGGAATGGAATTTGACTTGATGTTGCTCTCAGGTCATTGCAGAAAACTGGGAACCTTTGGGATCGGACAATCCTGCTGATGTTTGAAATGCATCAGAGGGTCCATGTGGTGCAGGTTTCTGAAGTAAGATGAGAATAATCCCACCCAGTGGCTCCATTTGCAGATGTGTGTGTATGGGGGTGGGAGGAAATAGAGATGTTTGTTTAAATGCTGCAGTTCATCTTTTAGTAACTGCAGAGTGACATGCTGCAAGAGAGGACACTCACCTGGGGCTCCACCATCCATTGTAGTGTAGGTCTCTTTCCTCTTTCACGCTTGTAGATGTAAGCAGAGTACACAGGAATACGCTTGTCTTTGTTATACAAGGTGGCAAAGAATTGCTGGTTGTTTAAGGTCTGGCATATATTGGCTGCATTCGGAGGCGTCAGGGCATTACCTGGGGTGAAGTTCTGGTAGAAAAACTGTGGACAGCTTCCAAAGGATTCCACCACCTCGCCCTGTCCCAGCCAAAGGCAGCTTGCCCAGACCTGCAGCAGCAGCAGCCACAGCATCATGGGAGGATTTCAGCTGAAGGGCTCTTGCTCCCCTGGAAGGCAAATGCAGAGGGAAAGTCAGCTTGGAGAGAACTGACCATGGCCTGGAGTCATTTTTGGTGATACAGCTGGCTGACAAGGGGACTATGAGACACCATGGAGGGGATAACTTCTGTCCTTCTGGCTGTGGAAAAATCACCAGGGTAAAGAGGGTGAAATCTCAAAGAGGGTTAAGGTGCCTACAGGAGGCAGCAGATCCATCTCATCTTCTCCGAAGATTTATCTTATCTAAGGACGGATCTGAGCCTACCCCACATGCTATCAGCTCTCACAGCAAAGTTATCTGAAAGTGAGGCACAGCAGTGGGACAAGGTCACATTTTTCAGCCCACCTGAGTTGGTCAAGAGTTCAGCTTCTGCACTGGCATTGCAGAAAAAAGCCTGAAGCAACCCAGGAAGCCCCTCTTTCTGAACATCACCTCTCTCCCTTCTGCTCTGAGGACTTTCCCACAGCAGAAACTTAACTGACATTGAGAAACCTGTCCTGTTGCTCAGCTTGCATTGTCATGGTATCCATCCCCAGATTATGAGCTGGCACACCTGGATACAGAAAATGAAAGGGTCAAGCAGATGGGAGCAGCAAACACGAGGGGGAACACCTTTATCTTATTTGCATCGTGGCTGCTGCAATGCAACTACTGAGGGGCAGCTCTAGCCAGTGCAGATGTGGCTTCTCCCTGTCAGTGTTCTCCTGATTTCCACCTCAGTTTTCCTTCTATCAGATGCTACAGGCAGCTGTCCAACCTCATGCCCAAAGTGGGGCAAGGTGAGCAAATGCAGGGAAATGGAAAAACCTCTTGTAACTGCAGTACTGGAAAAAGGGGATTTGGAAGCCTTACAGGAGAGTAGAACGTCCAAACCTGCCCTTTCCATTCCCTGGAGAGAAAAAGCTGACTCCAGAAATGAGTTTGGGTATGAAGACACTCAAAGCTGAGAGTCTGCTTACAGGTGTCTGACTTATTGACCCTTCAAAGCCTTCTGCAAAAAATCCAACCCCTCTCTTGCTGACTCTGTTTTTACGAGATGGGATGTCTCTGGAAAGGCATTGCAGGCCAAGCCACACCCCTTTGGGATAACCTCTTTAGGTTTCGGAGCACCTCTTTCCCACGTAGCCAGGAAGAATCTCACTTTTTGCACTGTGCTATGGAAATCAGCAGAGAATTTCTGCACGTTACCACCTTTTGTGGACTAAAGGGGCTGCAGAGTCCAGCTTATGTCACACAGGTGGGTTTCCCCACAGAAAAAGATTTGCTTGCTCAAAGTTCAAGAAGCTCCGCACTGTGACTCAGGGTGGGGAGGACTGGCTTCTCACTGATTTTATGGTGCTGCACTAAAAAAGGCAAGTGTTGACCTGATGGGGAAACCCTGTCAGTAAGGTGAGGGCTGGGGGCTCAGGGATGAGGGAGGGGTAGTGAGAGGAAAAGGTGGGGCCATGCACTTTTCTGTCCGTTAACAGCGATCACTCTGGACTAGATCATCCCAGCAGTGCCTCCTCACATGGTGTGGGTCATAAAAGATCAGCACCAAAGGGGAGGTCAGAGCCCAGATCTGCCTTTTGTATTTTCTAGGGCTCGTGAGACCCCTTTCTTCCATCCCTCTTGTTTGCTTCTCCCTTAGAAAAAGACTCCCTCGTTCAACTTAGCAGCACTGTGGTTTGCTGCTGTCCCCAAAAGAGTCAACTCCAGCCTTCAGCACAGCCAGTTGTGATGAGGAGTTCCCCCTAAAACAGACTTTTCTTTCCCATAGTTCTGCTCAAGTGACAGCCAGCAGTGATGGTTTGGCCGTGATGGATACATTTGACTCAGGGTGGATTCAGGCAAGGCAGATAACACAATAGCCAGGAGCTGATTTGAGCAACGTGCCCACCTAACCACAGTCAAAGTTCAGCTCAAGACAATTTTGGAAAAACTAAATTCTGTAGTCGGTATGCAAAGGTGGCTGTAAGGTAATTGTCTCACTCCAGAAATAGTACCCAATCCAGGGCCTGTTGCAGGCTGTGTACCAGAATCTTATAGCAGGATACTCTGCACTTACAATGTGGTCAAATAACCCAAGCAATGCCTATTTAACAAGCTGTCAGGGTGTGCTGAGAGGGGGCATCATGTGCTGGTTTTGCTGTTGAATTATGTGAAAACCACTCTGACACATCACCCCCAAATTAACATCCTGATAGTCAGGCAAAGATTTGGCAGACAAGCTGCTGACCTGGAGACACACTACTGGTAGTCAATCAGTTTATACTCTAGAAGCCCAGTCCACTTTCATACCATCAGATTCTTCTCAGATACTCTTCTTGGAGTGTGTGCAGATTCTCCCTTGAGGTGGAGTTGCCCCTTTGAGAATACTCCTCGAGGTTAAGAGATAGAGATCTGCCCACAAGTGTTGGTATGGTGAGTTACACCAATCCCTAATTATCCATTGCTTCTTCTTGCTAGCCTTCATATTAGCTTTTACATTGTGTAGTAACTAGTTCTGATTAAGGTCCTTTGTCTGATCATTTGTCTTAATAAAGAATATATTTATGTAAATATGTAAATATACCTGGTTTGACATCTCTAACCTTGTGACACAGTCATACTGAAAACCACAGACAAAATCTGGGGCTAAGATTGGATTCAGCCCCATCCAGTCTCCTTTCAGAGAAGGGGTTTAGAAATTAAGGGGATCCTTTCTGACTCATGACCTCATGACTCAGTGCGAGGGCTTCTCTAATAAACTTTGTCTAAAGCCCCATTGTCACTCATGACACATCTCCCCTTGAGAAGGGACACCTCTCAAAGTCACCCCTTGACGCTGAGAGATTCCTTGTTCTGTCAGATCCTCAGTAAGTAGACTGGGAATAAACACACTGACACTTTGAAATCTTAGTTAAGTGCTATAAAGAATTGGTGCACATATCCTGTAGACATAAATCATTGATCAAGTCTGGAATTAAGTTGGGATCCAGCCACATCTAGACTCTCATCTGAGAAGCAGTTTAGAAAGCAAAGGGCTCCCTTCTGAACTCTATAACTCAAGGGCAGTGTCTCCCAGTCAGATCTTTCCAACCCTGCCCTCTATGCAGTCCATACTCAAGCCTACCTTGCCATGGAACCCTGTTAATCCACTGCCATGTGTACTATCAAACTCAGTTAAACCACTGGTTTATATCAGCAGACTTCTTGCTGCTTCTCTCTTTACGAGTGAAGTGCCATGCTCCATCTGCAACATCTGCCGAGGTGATTTAGGGAGCAAATGCACTTTCTCTGCAACCTTGGA